CAAATACAGAGTTTGGTAACTTAAGTGTAATGCATATGTAGTGATGTTAATTTGTAAAAGAGAAAGAAGCGAATTTGTAAATTATAAAAATATTAAAAAAACTAAAAACTATACTTATCTCTCTCAGTGAATTACCGGTAAATTAGAGAGAAAATTAGTCAAGTACAACGTCTTCAAGAGCAAAGCACTCGTCTTGAGCCAGTTGTCGATTTGAACTTTGTGATCAGATTTGCCCGCTTTGCAGTGAACTGAATGGAACTATGCGGAAGTAATTGAATTTGAAACTCGGATATCAAAGGTTTTAAAATGATCGATTCGACTGGAATATGAGTGGGGTGGTGCTTGTCACCAAAAGAGGTGTCGTTTTAAATTTATAAATACTCGCTAGTGCACGAATCAAATGTAATATAGAAGTGTAAGAACGAGATCGTACCCACAAGGATTGCATGGAAAAAAAATAGAAAACTAATCCAACACAAATTAATTCAATTACTCACCTAGTGCCTTTCAAGTTTGATTTGTTGGTTTTTTTCCGTACAAAAAAAAAAAGCATAAAAAACATATGAAAATGACAATAAACTAAGGTATTAGAATCCACACCACTATTCCATAGAACTCTAATTATTTACCTATCAATTCCCATGGAGTAGCAATCTAGAAATGAATCTACTGTTTTCTCAAGATATATCAATTAAGCATGCAATTTAATAAATCTTTTGTAAATCCCCTTTCCTTCATTGGTACAAATTTTGAGCATCACATGTAAATAAAATTATTTAACTACAAAGGATCAAAGTTTCCTAAGCATCCTAGGTGAAAAAGGTTATTTGAATGACAAGAGATCAAAGAAATTTGTATACTAAAACTATAAAACCAAGGACGTATTAATAAATCAACTCAATTCTTAACTACCACAAATGCATGGTAGAAGTGGTGAAAAGAAAGTTAATCTATTAATCATGTATAGCCAAAATTATTAACATTGAAGAATATAATTTGTAAATTAAAAGATAAAAACAAGAAATTAATTTTATAACATATTTTAACTAGACATAAATAATAATAAAAATAAACTACATAATAAGAGATAAAAACTGAAGTGGAGAAAAATTAAAGTAGAGAGAATAAAGAAAAAACTGCATCATAAACCCCTTCGTTCCTTGCCCCTCTGCTTCCCAAGATTTTCTCAAATTATATTACATTTTCTATCCTCTTTCTTCTCTCCTGTTTGGTGCCCACTTTCTGCACTACTCTATCTCTCTGCACACTCTCTCTATTTATAGCTATATATCAACCCAAGCATCACATTCCTTCTTTGCATATTCTTTAATTCCTTTTTGTCAGAATGTGTGGTTGGCTGCACATGGTGAGGCAGCACCTTCCTTCTTTCGTTCTATTCATTGGCTGCACAGCATATGATGGTAGTTGTAACAAGGGTGAAAAACGCCTTTAATTTTTCGACCCTTGTTCGGCATTTAGACTCCTCCTAAGTCAGCCTTCTCTTCACCTCCAAACCCGTGAGGCTTTAGAGTACATGCAGTGGAACAAATGACACCAACGCACACAAGTGAGACTTGCCTCACGCAGGAAACTTTCGCACACCCATATACAGGAAAGCTCCCAACCTTCTATTTACAATAGCAAAGGATTACAAGTTTTCACTTTCAATTGGATTACCACATCACTTGGTTCTCAACCCTCACCTTCCCAAGGTATTTATAAGCCTACACTATGTAGATGACACCCCCATCTACTTAAGAAACTTTGCCAACCGTTAGATTAGCCACCTAGACATGTTTCTCTAACTAAAAACCCTGTCTAGCCACACAAGCCGCCACCTTGCAGCCCACTTTGATCATGGGACATATTTTTCCTCCTTAAAAATCTCCCCCACTCCTTGGAACATGCTGCCACTCTCTAGTAACCACCCATTATTGCTCCAAGATCAGCCACAACCCAAGTTTTAAGCATACAGCCACTCTAGCCACGTCCAACTGCCCATGGACTGCTTAAAAACCATTTTGCCACGTCATAGACCCACTCCAGCACGTTTTCAGCCAAACTGCCATGTCCAGCCACGATATGCCTACGTGCATTGCACAGTCTGCACGCACGCTGCGGTCAACTCCTTTCGGCATCTCCTGTCGGCATCCCTCGGCATCTGTCGACAGCTCTGGATGCATCACACGCGTTGGTCTCCATGCTTTTTCTTTGTCATCGGGCTTTGGCCATAGCCCATCTCCTTCTTATCTTCTATCTTCTTCTTGCAACACATTCTTTATTCCTCCTCATTTGCTATTGGTGGCATACTCTTAATATCTACAAAGAACCGCACATTAAATAAAAAAACCAAGATTGTAAACAATCAATACAAAAAATCTAATATATTCAAATAAAAGAAAAGAAAACAGTAATAAATATAAATGTAAGGATAAAACTTGTATTAGTTTTGTGCTCATCATGTGAGAACTAGGGTGTTCGGTTCAGTAACCGAACGTAGAGGCACAAACCAACCACCGAACCGACGGTGGTCGAAATTCTACAATCGGAACCACCACCGATGCCATCGGTTTGCCGACTGTAGTTCGAAGTCGACCGCCATCTGTGCGGCGGCATCCGAGAGAGAGACAGAGAGACAGAGAGAGCATATATGTGCATCAGCGGCATCAAAGGAAGAAGAGATGGTGTGCGGTGGCTGCGAAGAGAGGAGAAGAAGGATGGCCTTGAATTGAAGAGGAGTGCGGCTGCAACTGCGAAGAGAGGAGAAATGGGGAAGAAGAAGATAGGAGAGAGAAAATGAGGAGGAAAAAGAAAGATCAGCTGGAGAAGAAAATACGAAGAGGGAATAAGAGAGGATACGGCAGCTTGACAAAGAGATAGTGGCTAGAGAAAATTAGGAGAGAAATAAATGTTATGGGTTCACAAAAAAGTGGTTGGCCTGTTTGGGAGTGCTTTTGGGAGGGTTAAAAGTACTTTATGACAAACAAAAGGGCTTCTAACAGCTTTTGACAAAAAATGTTTGGAGTGCTTCTAGGTTGTGAAAGCTCTTTCAAGACAAGCACCTACTATGTGCTTCTTAGGGCTTGTTTGGGAGTGATTCTGGAGAGGCCAAAAAGCACTTCTATGGATATAATCACTTTACGTAGTTTTAAGTATTTTATGGAGTAACACATGGGAGGTTCTTCTCCCTAGAATCACTTAAAATCACTAAAGTAATTATATGGAGAAGCACATGGGAGGTGCTTCTTCCCAGAAGTATTATGGCATATCCAGAATCACTCCCAAACAAGCCCTTAAGAAAGTACTCCCAAGTGGTTTTCCAGAAAGCTCTTGCTTTTCTTATGAAAATTTCAACATCTTTATAATAAAAGCGCTTTTGCGAGAAGTTCTTATGAGCAGAAATGTTTCCTAGAAAAGAAGTCCCAAACAAGTGGTAGAAGAGCTTTTTGTCCAACCAGCAGGCTAAGGGTTTCAATCCCCTTTGGCCCATAATTTGAAACATTCTTCACAACCGGTTTAGTTCGATTTGTGGCCGAAACCAAAAATTAAGTGAAAAATCATGAACCAACCGGTTTGGCTATCTATAGATCTAAAATTCCAACCCTATGTGAGATGGGATACGGAGGTTATGACTACAGTGAGATAGAGGGTGAGGGGCCGCGGTTGGAAGTTAGATTGGAAGGAGGGGATGTTTGGCTTGATCGCCTAGCATGGGGTGGGGGTGCCCTTTGAGGTGGGCAATGTCCCTTTAGAAGATAGAGAGGGAAAAAAAGGCTTTTTTTGTTTTCTTATATTTTATTTGTTTTTAAAATATTTTTTCTTATTTTTAAATTCTTCTTTAAAAAAAAAAAAATGCAAGGGACCTGACCCTCGGGGGCTTTAGGTTGCTTCGCATGTGCCTTGTTTTTCACTCACATACCTGTATGGATTAATCGTGAACCCAATAATACACAACCTACTCATAAGTCAAATAGGGTGCCTAAGATTTAAGGACTAGTCTGTATTATTTCGACTTAATTTTCTTGTTTGAAATATAAGTAAAACTTCCAAAAAAAAACTATTGATTGATCGCGTTTACTAAATTCACCCTCTACCGAGCACGTCCATACTTTTCCTAGTGTCTCTATATAAATGACTAGAGAACAATCATCCTCCTAATTAACCGAACATAAGATGCCCCAATTTTTGGGATATTTCCCACACAATATATAGTGGAACAATATTATAGGTGGCCCTTTGAACTCGGTTTAACTCATTTTTTAAGTGAGTTTAAGCTCAAATTTAGCCCGAGTTAACATAATATAACATGCCCTAAGAATGCATATCCCTAAAAGATTGGTCATCCTTGTGAGGAAAGAAAATCAATCAACATTTTGAAGTACACCAATATAATAATTGGAACATCTTTCTATTTAATTATAAGATTGTAAACGTTTAGGACCAAACTTTAATGAAACAAACGCTAGGTATCTCATAAAAAGATGTGAACTGCTAATGAGATTTGTTAGCTCAGCACACCAAATCTCAAGCTCGGGTCATTTTAACAAGGGGAGAATTGCACTTAGACTCCTTGAAGTTTGGTATAATTACAGTCAGATCTCACATGTTTCATATATTACAATCACACCCTTCGTGTTAGTTAATTTTGACGGAAACTGGTAGTTGACTGGATTTTAACAAATGAAATGGCCGTTCTAACCTTTCTACATAAATATTAACAAAATGCCTTAAAATCAATTTAAAATAAGCAAAAAGGTTAAAGCTTGAAAATAAAAATTTAAAACTCCCAAAACTTGAGTCCTACCCGATCACTCCGCATCCCCTACCCAGCAGATTTGTTTGGTTGGGTTTTTGATTGGTTAACCTTTGACTTTTTCATAATTAAAATTGTAGGTGTTGAACGGCTTGCATTTTTCCTTTGAGAATTTCCTTGGTCTCTGACGGCTTTATATCAAAGGCAACAAAAAATGGAAGGAATTTGTATTTCAATTACATCTAAAATGGTAGAAGAACCAATGGCACTAATTGGGAGACAACTCAACTATCTAATTTACCATGATTCCAACATAGAAAGTCTAAAAGATGCGCTTAAAAAGCTTTATGACAAGAAAAATGATGTGCAAAGATCTATGGATGCTGCAAAAAGGAATGGTGAAACCATCAAAGATCAAGTTCAGAGCTGGCTGGAGGATGTAAGTAAAGTATTTCGTGAAGCACAAGAACTTGAAACCAAAGTCAACATGCAAAAGTGGTGTTTGTATGGATTGTGCCCAAGTTTGAAATCACGGTATTCTCTTAGTAGGAAAGCCAAGAAGATTGCTCAGCATGTCCTTAATCTCAAACTAGACGAAGGACTGAGTAATAATGTTGCCAATCCTGCACCTCGGCAACAACTAGGGTCAATAATCTCTAGTGAAGGTTTTAAGGGTTTTGAATCCAGAAAAGCAGTCATAAATGATGTCCTTAGTGCTTTGAGGAATAAAATGACAAGAATAATTGGCATTTGCGGGATGGGAGGTGTGGGTAAAACCACAATGGTGATAGAAATCATCAAGAAATTACAAGGAACGAATAAGATGTTTGATGATGTTGTGATGTCAACTGTCTCCGCAACTGTAAGCATTAGGAAAATTCAAGCTGAAATTGCAGAGTCACTCGATATGAAATTGGTCGAGGAAAGTGAATCTATAAGAGCACAAAGGCTACATGGGAGAATCAAGCAGAAGAAAATCCTGATTATATTGGATGATGTATGGTCAGAGCTTAAATTACAGGATGTAGGAATCCCTTTTGGTGTTGGACCTACAACTAATCAAGTTCATGAAGGGTGCAAAATTTTGTTGACATCTCGAAATGAAGAAGTTTGTAAAGTAATGGGGTGTAAAAAAGATGACATTTTTAAAGTCCAAGCCTTAAATAAAGAAGAATCATGGGAGCTTTTCAGGGCAACTGTAGGTGAATCTATGAACAATGATCCTGATTTGTCTCATGTTGCAAAATTGATTGTTGGTGAATGCAAAGGTTTACCCATTGCTATCATCACTGTTGGGAAAGCTCTTCTATCAAGTAATGGCAAGCATGAATGGAATACTGCCTTGCAAGAACTGAAAAATTCTCTTCCAGAAAACATCCCTGGGATGGAACACAGTGTTTATTCTTGCATAAAACTGAGTTATGATAAATTGGTTAGTGATGAAGTCAAGTCATGCTTTTTACTTTGTTGCTTATTTCCAGAAGATTATGATGTTCCGATTGAGTATTTGGTGAGGTATGGGTTGGGTCGAGCAACTTTCAGAAACACCAATACAGTCAAAGATGTAAGAAACAAAGTGCATTCTTTCGTTGGACAACTAAAAAGAAGGTATTTGTTGCTGGATAGTGAAAAGGAAGAATGTATCAAAATGCATGACATAGTTCGTGATGTTGCTATATCAATTGCCTCAAAAGATCCTCATAGATTTATGGTAAGATCATTTGATGCTGAAGGTGGAGGTGGAGGATGGCCAGGAGTACAAAAAGTTACAAACCAAGAACATTGCAGTGCAATTTCGTTAATTGATGTTAAGTTAGATAAAGATGTTATTGATGCTTTGGAGTGCCCAAAACTTGAGCTTCTACAACTGAGAAATTCCTCCAGTAGTTCAGAATATTCAAACCACTTTAAAAGGTTGAGAGAACTCAAGGTTTTAGCTTTCTTGACGATGGATATGTCAGGTTACTTGGCCTCAAAAAGATCTCTACCGCTTGGAGAACCCAAGTACCTTCATACCTTGTGTCTAGAGGGTTGCAAATTAGGAGACATATCCCATGTTATTGGAGGATTGGAGAATTTGGAGATCCTCAGCTTTGCTCGCTCTCAAATCAATAAGTTACCCAGAGAAATAGGACTTCTTCATCGGTTAAGGATGCTGGATGCTACAGATTGTGAAGGACTTGAAGAAATTCTTCATGGTGTCTTATCCAACTTGAGGAGATTAGAAGAGTTGTACATGGCAGAAAGCTTTCTCAATTGGGGGCCAGCAACAGGAAGCAAAGATGAAACAAGTATGGCAAGCCTTGATGAGGTGATGTCTCTATCTGATCATTTAAATGTCTTAGCCATTAAAATCCCTGATGTTCAGATGTTACGGAATGATGAGTTTCTTTTAAAAAGTCAGCCTATAAGATTTCATGTATGTATCAATATTAGTTGGTTATACGAAAAATGGAGTTTCAAGAATCGAATGCGTGGTTATTTGTTCGAAAATAGTTTGATGCTTCGTGGTGATGTAAAGGAATATTTGGAGATTGGAGCAGTTAGATACTTCTTGAAGCAATCTGAAGACTTAAGCCTACACCACACATACAATTTAAAGTATGTCGCCGAGGAGTTAGATGGTCTAGGAGGCTTTCAACACTTGAAAGTGTTATCAATCATGCACGACAAGAACATAGAGTATCTTATGAAAGGAACAAATTGGACTCGTCATGGTCAACATCCTTATCAACATGCCTTCCCCATCTTAAGATCCATTGCAATTGTATGTTGTCATGAGTTAAAATATGTCTTTTCACTATCTGTAGCACAAAACTTGGTACAACTCCAAAGCTTAACTGTTGACAACTGTGCTAAAGTGGAAGAGATCATATCAAATGAGAGAATGGAAGATGATAATGCATCTCACATGATAATTTTCCCAAAATTAAATTTTTTGGAGCTTTCTCTTCTACCAAATTTCCGTGGTTTTTACACGGGAAACCAACAAGACTCCACCTATGAGGTATGTATGTATACACTTTTGATGCTTGAATGGTATATACTTGTTACTCTTTGGAAGATGCTGCTTTTGTTGTGCTTAATACTGTCGTTCCAGTTCTCGAAGTTGATGTGGGTTAAACTTAATCATTTTTGGTCTGTTGGAGATTTTAGATGCATTTCAAATTTTTGCAACTATTTTATAGATATTCAATAAAAAATTATCTCTAAAAAAGTCACTTGAATCATATATCATTTGACTGCTCAATTACAATATTGTAATTTTAAGGCAATTTGGAAATAAGACAAATGTTTATTGGTAATCTTGAGTGGTGGGAAAAATGTTATTGGTAAATAGTAATTGAGGGAAATAGTGGGTAGGAAAAGGATTTCTCAAAATTTATGACAGAGGAAGTGAGAATATAATTAAGGCAATTTGGAAATAAGACAAATGGTTGAAGTTCATTACTTATGTATTTCTTTCTATTTGGCTCATGTGTAAGTTCATTATTTATGTAGAATTAATTTATGTACAGATTATAAAGCCCAATGATGAAAGTGTGAACAAGATGAAAGAGACTAGGAATGACCAACAACATGATCAAGTTGCTGGGTCGACCTCATCTAAATCAAAAGTAGCACAAGTGGGAGCAAGTTGTAATGCACTATTTCCTTCAAATTGCATTTCATGGTTACCAAATCTAGAGGAACTAGTGTTGACGTTGTTCACAATCAAGCAAGGGTCAAAAGAAAACAATGAACCAGTAGTCAATGTGTTATTTGATTTAGAAGGGCATGTCCCAGCATTTTCTCAATTACGAACATTTAAAGTGTTTGGTTTATTCCAGTTTGATCATATGTGGAAGAACGTTCGACCTGGATTCCAAGGTTTTCAAAATGTAAGATCTTTAATGATTGTAGGTTGTGGCAGTCGTCTGAAATACCTATTGCCAAATGAAATTTACAAGCTCCTTGTGAATCTCCAACAAGTCTATATATCTGCATGTGAGAATATGGAAACTATAGTACTGGCAGCTCCTTCCACAGAGGACAATATCCATGAAAATGGGAAAAAGATAGGTGGCATTGGCGCGATGACTTTGTTTCCCAAACTACTCAATAGCTTATGTCTGGAGAAGTTGCCAAGCCTCGAGAGATTTTGCCCTGATGCCTATTCTTTTGCGTGGTCCTCCTCCACAAGAACTATGAAGGTGTCAGAGTGTCCCAAATTAAAGACATTGGGTTTTGCACCAGTAAGCAAAAAGCTGCCTGCAGTAGTTGCAGAGAATTTGAGTGATGATCATGTAAGAGGTAGAGAAGAATCAGGAT